CAAGCCGTTCTTCAGCAGGGATCGATTTTAGAAAATTTGTCTCTCTCTTTGCAATATGGGGTCCAATCAATTCAAGAAGCATGTAAAAAGTACTTCGTTTCATCCGAATGTAGGCCTCCTATGATAGGCATTTCTCCTCATCACTTAAAACTTCATCTACAAGATGGTGGAATTCGCCGTAAGTTTCTCTTCGTTGATGGATGCTATGAACCCAAAACCTTCTTCTAGTATGACAACGTCTTTTTTTCAAACAATATAAAATTGTTAATATTTCAGCTGCCATGTTTCAATTCGAATTCCGTACTACACACAACACGCTGGAACAGTGACGGGTACACTACATTATGTCATACAGCACGACACCAGCACAGCAAAGACCAAGCAAAATGCTTGACAGACGCTGTGCTGTTAGACGCTGTGCTGTTGCTGGACGCACTGTGTTGGAGCTCGACAGGTGTTATTGCGTGTATATATTATAATATACCAGTAGACAGCAATAACTGTGCTTCACAACTTTGTTCTAATACAAGAACCCTTTCGTGTATCGCCGTGTGATTCAATGGGTGAGCAGATTCAAACCCCAAATACTCTTTCAGGCTTTCAAGGAACCAATATCAATGGAAACGTTCGATCTACAAAAAATGCCTTGAAAGTATGAGAAACATTGATGAACTATTTCACATCCCCTGCTATAACTCTTCCATGGCAAAATGATCAATGTGTTACCAGATAAATCTCATGGTGAAATATACAGAATAACCTTCTTTTGATTATTATTATTATTATTAAGAATAATAAGTCCGATGATTATTATTATTATAATTGTTTTGAGTCTAACAACAATGTTGAACATCGTTAGCTCAAGTGGTAGAGCGTTCGCTTGCGATGTGGGAAGTCGTGGGTTCGAATCCCAGCTGGGTCAATCCAAAGCACTCTGGGCTGGTACTTATTTCCCTTGTTGCAAGACAATTTATACAGGGCTACTGATGAGGTCTCAATGGCCGAAACTGGATCCAGTATAGTCCAATATTATTATTATTATTATTATCACTATTACTATTATTATTATTAATTATTATTAGAGAGAGAGAGGAGAGAGAGAAGGGAGGAGAGAGGGGGGAGAGAGAGGGAGAGAGACAAAGGAGGAGAGAGAGAGAGAGAGAGAGAGAGAGAGAGAGAGAGAGAGAGAGAGAGAGAGAGAGAGAGAGAGAGAGAGAGAGAGAGAGAGAGAAGTGGGGGGGGGGGGGGGGGACTTTAACCCCGATAATTGAATTAGATAAGATTTTAATAAATATTATTACTCACCATCAATTCCGACTTCCTCGCCGACTTCAATCCATTGTTGGTTTATTACAACTCTATTTGAATAATTCTCATTACTTTTGTCAAATAGGACTTCTCTTTTTCTCACTGCTTCAATCAATGCCTCTGCCTCCATCTTGCTTGTCTGGTCCATGCTGGTTGAATTATAGTGTCGCACTAAAATGAAAATTACCAGCAAAACGACGGGCGAACGCTGGGTTCATGCAGGGTTCACGCTGGTCGGACAAAACGGCGCCACTCCGTTAGGCGTAGTTTTATATTATCTATATTACCTAAAATTTTGACCCGTCGTTTTGCTGTTGCTGTGCTGTTGCTGGACGCACTGTGTTGGAGCTCTTAGTGTGATAGGGGTTGTGTGTTAAAATATGGTGGCCGCGGCCGCGTTGGACAGGTGCCCGTTTTACACAGTAAAATTATATATAGAGAAAAAACGCAAGGGGGGAAATGGAAAGTGGCCGTTTGTGCAGGTTGCCGTCTTATAGAGGTGGCCGTCAGGGCAGGTTCCACTGTATTTCATATGTGGTGTTGTCCCAACTTGTTCTCTTATTTTTTCTAACTTTATCCCCATTTGTTAATGTTTTCCTGAGGCATTCCATCTCGCACACATTTCTACAGATTTGATTGTTTGTCATCGTGTTCCTGCAGTTCAGTGTTATTGTTATGCAGTAGACTTTGATCGTCTGCGAACAGTACATGTATTTCATTTAGAATTTAGGTTCTCCGGATGTGGGCTTGCTTCTTTCGTCAAACAATATAATACAATATAATTGAGTTATTACTTTGTTTACTCAATCATATAGGCCCTATATTGTTGGATAAAACAAGATGAAGATGTGTAACCTCTACTCTATTGTTCATCGTTTTATTTTTAGCATTAGATTGCTAAACTATACTTTCTCAATTAAAAATATATGTGATTGATAGACTTTGAGGATTTGGGGGGGGGGGGGGGAGAGAAACCAAACACAGGGGAGGTAACTCGCAATTTTGTGGGCAAATAAGAAATGTTCTAGGGGAAATCATAAATATATGCTCCTGTGGGCCAATAAGCACTCCGTTATTAACTAAATACTCTCTCTGGGCTAAAATATATAATTTTAGTAGGCCTAGGCTAGACATACCGCCCGAGATGATCAGAAGCCTTGCATTGTAACCAATGTAAACTATCGCCAACCCAGCGAGTTATACGCGCAGCTGGCAAAGTGGGAGGGGCCTGCGCTTTAGTGATCTCAATGGCAATGATAGTACATAACAAGATGGGCCACTTCTCTCTTTGAGCCAATTAAAAAAGTGTCCTCAAAATTTGGTGGCGCCCTCTTCACAAAAGCGCACTCTTTGCGAACAGAGTTACCCTACTTGAGTTTTTAAAAATCAAAGTGAAACTAGCAAGTTTTGGGATAAATTTCGGAAGAACGCTTTTTTAAAATGGTTACGCTGACAAAAAACCTCTTCCGGAGGAAAGGGTGATGGTTTTCTTCGTTTAATTTGACTTTAGAATGAAAGGCGAGAGGTCATTAAATTTTTTAAAAACTAAAACTCCGCACTGAACGTACCCGAACTGCTGATGAACAGCAGTCGATCTGCGCACGCAAGGAGGTGCTATTCCTATTCTTCTTCTGGAAAAACGAAAGAGAGCTTCAAAACAGACTGCAGCGCCATCTGAAGCAAAGAGCATACTTCCTGCGGACACTTTTTTGGCTGAGTGGCCCATCTTGTTATTCACTATCTTTGGTGATGGGCAGGAATCGATACTAGATACTCGATATTTAGATACCTATAGGTATCGGTATCGGTACCGATACCTGCTCTAAACATTGAATTGATACCCTTTGTGTTATTTATCCCAGGGCTGCCAAAGCAAGTGACTTGGGCCTTGAGAATTTTTGTTTATAAAAACTGATAAGTTTTCGTAAGGGGGGGGGGGGGGGGGGGGGAGCATTTTAAATTAATCTAGTGATTTTTTTTCAAAAAGAGAAGTTTTTCATGAAATCTATTTAGTGATTTTGCAAAATCCTCACTGAAAACCCTGCTTTATCCTCATTGGTTTAATTTAAAGTTGCTAAAAACCTGGTAAATTGAATTACCTTTTTAGAACTCTTGTGTTTTTATTTTCCAATACTAACATTTTCTGCAAAGTTGACTTTC